GGAGAGCTGCGCTATATACTTACCCCAAGAGGCCTGAGGATAGTAGTGCAGGCTGGGAGAGTTAGCCGGTGGTGTAGGCCCAGGGAAGCAGAGAGAGGTGAGGGCGGGGCCAGGACCAGAAGTGGTGCTCCTGGAGCCCAAGAAAGGGACTGAGTTTCTCTGGGTGGGAAGGGTCAGGAAGCAGTATTGGTTCCCCAGGTGTCTGGGGCCCCAAGACTAGGAATGGCGCAGGGCCCAAACTAGGAGTATAGAACGGCGAGGCGGGGGATGGAAGGGTGAATGTCGCTTAGGGAGTCCCGGTGCAGAGAGCTGCGCTATAGACTTACCCCAAGAGGCCTGAGGATAGTAGTGCAGGCTAGGAGAGTTAGCTGGTGGTGCAGGTCGAGGGAAGCAGAGAGAGGTGAGGGCGGGGCCAGGACCAGAAGCGGTGCTCCTGGAGCCCAAGAAAGGGACTGAGTTGCTCTGGGTGAGAAGGGTCAGGAAGCAGTATTGGTTCCCCAGGTGTCTGGGGCCCCAAGACTAGGAATGGCGCAGGGTCCAAACTAGGAGTATAGAACGGCGGGCGGGGGGATGGAAGGGTGAATGAGGCTTAGGGAGGTCCGGCGCGGAAAGCTGCGCTATAGACTTACCCCAAGAGGCCTGAGGATAATAGTGCAGGCTAGGAGAGTTAGCCGGTGGTGCAGGTCGAGGGAAGCAGAGAGAGGTGAGGGCAGGGCCAGGACCAGAAGCGGTGCTCCTGGAGCCCAAGAAAGGGACTGAGTTGCTCTGGGTGAGAAGGGTCAGGAAGCAGTATTGGTTCCCCAGGTGTCTGGGGCCCCGAGACTAGGAATGGCGCAGGGCCCAAACTAGGAGTATAGAACGGCGAGGGGGGGATGGAAGGGTGAATGAGGCTTAGGGAGTCCCGGTGCGGAGAGCTGCGCTATATACTTACCCCAAGAGGCCTGCTACTGAGACATTTTTTAATCACATGGATTTTCTTTTCTAGGAGAATATCGACCAGCAAAGTGACAATTCTGGGATATGGTCTCTTAACCACAGATGCAGAGACTTTGATAGATGCACTGAACCGCCAGAACTTTAGAGTGGTGATTGTGGACGAATCGCACTACATGAAGTCCAGGACTGCAGCCCGCAGCAATATTCTCCTGCCCATGGTACAGAAAGCCAGGAGAGCAATTCTTCTTACAGGCACCCCAGCTCTGGGAAGGCCTGAGGAGGTACTATAGTTGGCTATGCTTTGGGCTTCAAAAGGAAAACTGAATTAATCATTTGCTTGACAAATTTTAGTTTTGAATCAGATGCCTCAAATGCCATAAGAGTACATTAGAAGTACTATTTTATTTTGACTCTTTTTTTAAAAAATGTATTTATTTGTAACCTTTAGCATGCTTATAAGTGTCCATAAGATACATTTTATCTTTATTATAAGTTTATTTAGTACAAATTCATGCTCTTCACATCTGTTTCTGAGGTTCTCCCGTCACTTACTGTCCTAGTTAGCTTTCTATTGCTGTGCTAAACCACTCTGGCCAAAAATAACTTGTGTTGGACTGGAGAGAGAGCTCAGAGGTTAAGAGCACTGGCTTCCCTTGCAGAGGTCCAGGGTTTGGTTCCCTGCATCCACATGGTGGCTAACCATAACTCAAGTTCCAGGGGATCTTACACCCTCTTCTGGCCTCTGCAGGCATTGCACACATGTGGTGCACTTATATACATGCAGACATAACACTCTTTCACATAAAATACAAATAAATTTTATAAATAAATAAATCAACTTGTGGAGGAGAGGGTTTACTTCATCTTACAGCTTACAGTCCATCACTGAGGGAAGCTAAGGCAGGAACCTGGAACAGAAACTGAAGCAGGAGACCATAGGGGAACACTGCTTACTGGCTTGCTTCACCTGGCTTGTTAAGCTAGCTTTCTTCTATAGCCCAGGCCACCTGTCCAGGGATGGTATTGCCCACCATGGGCTGGGCCCTCCTACATCAACCAATTTAGAAAATGCTCCACAAGCCAGTTTGACGGAGGCAGTCCCTCAACCCAGATTCCTTGTTCCCAGGCATATCCAGGTTTATGTCAAGTTGGCAAAAACTGACTTTTTAAATATATATTTTATATATCATTTTTATTTTATGTGTGTGAGTGTGTCAACTGCATGTGTGTAAGTGCACCTGTGTTGTACAGTGCCCACAGAGGTCAGAAGAAGATGTTGGATTCCCTTGGAACTGGAGTTACAGACAGTTGTTAGCTGCCATGTGGGTACTGGGAATCAAACTCATCCTCTGCAAGAGCAGCCATTACTCTTAACCACTGAGCCATCTCTCCAGCCCCAAAGATTTTTTTTTTTTTGAGACAGGGTCTCCCTGTAGCCCCAGTTGGCCTGGGACTCACTATGTAGACCAGACTGACTTTGAACTCACAGAGTTCTGACTCTGCCTCCGGAGTGTTGGGATTAAAGGCTTGTGTCACCATGCCCCACTAAAACCTATGAATTTTAACCTTATCTAGTTTATATAATAAGCACCTTAGGTTTGAAACTGAATCTTCTTGTGTCTGTGTGCTTGTATGTGTGCCTCTGTGTGTGTGTGTGTGTGTGTACTTGTTTACCTGTTTATATGTATGTATGTGTGCATTCGTGTGGGTATAAGTGTGCATGCATTTGTGAATGCCAGAGGTGATATACGGTGTCTTTCCTTCTTCACTTGCTATCTGCCTTAGTTTTTGAGATAGAGTCTCTTAGAGAGCCTGGAACTCACTAATTTTTCCGGGCTGGTTAGCCAGTGAGCTCCAGAGATCCATTTACGCTGCATTACAGAATTTGTCTACTTCTTTTTCACTTCAGTATCCTGACTTTGGAAAGTAGAGACAGACAAGAACGTAGTATAGGCTAGGTAAGGTATCTATTTAGAATGGAAGAAATTATTTGATACCTCATTTAGCTTTTGCTACTCAGGTGCATGGGGTATGAAATTACAATGTTAGATGTAGAAATGGTGGGTGAACCTTATGATAGTCTATAAGAATCAGCATTCCTTGAGGAAGCCCTATCAACTAATATGCTGAATGACAGGAAAAACATGGGCTTCTTGTCTTGTATTGCAAGTGTCTAACTCTGTGTCCTAGTACATAGTAACTAATATACACTCTACATAGTGCAACCATTATTATTAAGCCAAACTTGGATGACAGCTATTAGTAGTGTACCTTTACTAGTATTGCCTAGGCTCTACTTTTAAATTCTTTGCCTAGAAAGCATCAGACGTTTATCTAAAACAGTAAATAGATAGTGATGGTGAAATGCCTTTTTTGTCTTTTATACTGTTTGCTTTCGGAAACCCACTGGCAGTAGGAGAATGGGCCACAAGTAATTTACTTATTTTCTAAAAGTATATCATTGAATAATAGGGATCATTATGCCTTTAAAAACATCACAAAATGTGTCATTTAAGAAAGACAGTATACAGCTCTGCTTCCCTGGACCTGCATGACCCGCAGGCCTCTCTCCAGGGGCTTATACTGAGTTCAATATTGTATAACTATTAATTCAACTGTGAACCTAGAAACTTACAGCCACTTGTGAAAGAGATGGACTCTTGCTCTGGAGTGTGTTACTGAATATGTTAATGCTGTAATGAAATGCTTCTTCTGATCATGTAGTCATTAAAAATTAAAAAAAATAATGATTAGAAAAAGAAAGAAAGACAGTATACAAAAGAACTCTCTGTTTCATGAAGTAGTAAGGTGCTTAATCATCTGCCTGCTTCTTATATGAGAAGCAGAACAGAGACCTCCTGTCTGCTGTGACCACATGTTCTTCTTATTTTCATCCCTCACCCAGGTATCTCCTGTCCAGGAGAGCATAAGTTCTAGCTTCATCAGGCCAGATGAATCTGCAGTTTGTCTGTGGAATTCTTTAAGAGCTAATATTTAAAATGATAAAGCCTCAGCTCTCAGTTTTTGAAAATGAAAAATATGAAACCTCCAGCTTTGGTTTCCTTTTAAAATTCTGGGTTATTTGAATTTATGTATAATTTCTTTTTCTTTTATTTTTCTTTTTTTTTAACCATCTTAACCATTTTTAGTTGTACAGTTCCATGCCATTAACTACATTCACATTGTTGTACATTTACCACTATCCATGCCCAAAACTGTTTGTTTTCCCAAAAGGAAACTGTGTACCTATTAGACAGTAACACTACCTCTTCCTTCATTCCTCCTCACCCACCCCAAACTGGTTGAGAACACTGTTTTATCTCTATGAATTTAACTACTTTAAGTACCTTACATAAGTGAAATTGTGCAGTATTTGTCTTTTTGTCTAATATAATTCCCTGAAGGTTCATCCACATTGTAGAGTAGTATATCAGAATTCCCTTGCTTTTGAAGACTGAGTAATATTCCACTGTGTGTATAGACTGCCTTTAAAAACATCAAAAAATGTGTCATTTAAGAAAGAAAGTATACAGCTCTGCTTCCCTGGACCTGCATGACCTGCAGGCCTCTCTCCAGGGGCTTATACTGAGTTCCATTCATCCACCAGTGGACCCTTGAATACATTCTACTTTTTGGCTATGGTGATTACTGCCAGTGCGTGAATATCTATTCAAGTCCCTGCCTTCAGTTCTTTTAGGTCTATACCAAGAAGTATAAGGGATTGTGTTGTTGTTTTGTTTTGGTCCGGAGTTTTTTTGAGATAGGGTCTCTTGTAGCCCAGGCTGGTCTTGGACTCATTTTGTAGCTGAGGATGACTTTGAAATCCTGATCTTCCTTCTTCTTCTGAAAGTGCTAGTGTTACAAGTGTGTGCCACCAAGCCCCATGCTGGGGTTTTAAGTATGTGCCCCATGCCCCATTTCCTGCAGCATTGGGAATGGAAACCAGGGCCTCATGCATGCTAGACAAGCATTCTACCAATTGAGCTACACCCTTAGCCCTGTTTTAATAGTAGCTATGTAACAGGTGTAAGGTGGCATCTTGTGGCTCTGATTTGCATTTCTGCAATAACTAGTGAGTCTAGTAGCTTTTCCTGTGCCTGTTGGCTGTTTTGTGTGTCCGTTTTGAAGAGATTTCAGCTCAATATTGTTTTGTCAGAAGTTTGTTATTGAATTTTAGCTCTTTATATATTCTAGTTAATAACCGCTTGCCAGATTTCTAATTTTCAAATGTTTTCTCCCATTCTTTGAATTTGCTTTATTTTGTTTTTTGAGGGAAGTAAGGCATGCACATACTGTGGCACATGTGTGGCAATCAGAAGACAACTTTCATGTATCACTTCTTTCACTGTGTGGGTTCCAGAGTTCAAACTCAGGTCATCAGGTTCAGCAAGTACCCTTACCCTCTGAACCATCTTGCTGGCTTAAAGTTTTTGATTTTTATTTTATTTATTTATTTTATGTGTATGAGTATATTGCCTGTAAGTGCACCCATGTCGTGCACTGCCTGTGGAGGTCTGAAGAGGGCATCAAATTCTCCTAGAACTGGAGTTATGGACGATTGTTAGCTACCATGTAGGTGCTGGGAACTGAACCTGGATCCTCTGCAAGAGCAGCTCACAGTCTTAACTGCTGAGCCACCTCTCCAACCCCAAAATTCTTGATTTTAATGTACTTCAGTTTATTCATTTTACTTTTGTTACCTATGCCTTTGGGAGCAATAATTTTTCCAAAAAATTCTTGTCAAATCCAGTGTCATGGTGCTTTTATGCTGCTCTTTTCTAATAGTTCCATGATATTAGCACTTAGGGTTAGGTCTGTAGTCCATTTTGAGTTAGTTCTCATCTATCGTATAAAATGAGGACCAACTACTGCTGCTTATTGTTCTTGTTCTTGTCTGGTTGTTGCTCCTCCTTTTCCTCTTCCTCCTCCTTCTCCTCTTTTTCCTCCCTCCCTCCCCCTCCTCCTCCTCCTTCTTCATTTGTGAATATCCTGTTTTCCCAACTATTTGATGAACAAAAATGTTACCTTGTTTTACACACGTGATCTCCTTGGGTATGTTGTAAACTGTCTTAGGGAGGAGAAAACAAGTTGAAGATATCCTAAAAGCAAGCCCCTTGGTCACCTCAGTAGGCCAGAGGCATAAAAGAAGGAAAGACTATGATAAAAACTTAGAGGAATGGAGAGCAAAGCAAAACAAGATTTGTACAGTGTCATCTGGAGGGGGGTCGTCAGAGTGTCCGTATGTGCCTCCCCCTACTTAGAGTTCACTCAGAGCCGTCTT